TTTTTTTTGCACTCCATCTTTTTGGGCTACTACACTTGTGAATTTTGCAACATACCACAAACCCTGTAAGATTATATATATAAGTCGCAACAAGTTTATTCTAATTCAAAAACCAATATTATTCCAACAGGTCAAAAGTACTCGCACATTTATGGTGCTTACTCAATCCCTCACACACTTGTTATGGTCTTTGAATAATTAAATACTTCTGTTGTTTCCTTTATCATATAAGCCCTGATTCATTCATATATATGCATGCAGGCACCATGTTTCGTTACTCATGCAAAACGAGTTAGATTATCTTGACTTTTCTTGTGTCTTAATATCTTTGTACTTGCAAAAGCATTTAAATTATATTATTGTGTATGCATAGAGGTTTAATTTATCACATCTCTTTATCACATTGGTCATGCTTTAGTGTTTATTTCTCACAATTATTCATTCAACTTTCCGCCACACATGTAAATGACCACATGTTTTTCTTTGATTGCGTATTACTCATTAAATACACAGTTTATCAATTTAGTATTTAATTAAGTATTTGTTTATCATATTTTAACCCTAACATAAATTTGTAAACTTTACTCATCATGTGTTATAGCTAGGTAGAATAATATATGATACCAAGGATTACACCCAGATTTTACCCTCATGAGAATAAACATTTACCATCACATAGGACACAATCTTATCATTCATACATCCTAGCACAATTGACCCAGGAAGCACTAAGACTTCATTAAAGTAATTGCATGTTGCTATCTGAACTAAACAATATAATTAATTGCCTCCAAATCATGTATCTACAATCATATATGGTTCAACTACAATTAATTTAATATCCAAATTTATAATTAAAAAACATAGCACTAGCTTCCACTCAAAATTAAATCCTGCGTTTTAATATTTTAATTAAACATTGTCACAACATTGCACACTCCTGTCATTCTATCTATGTAATGGAAACTCAGTTTTCTCATTCCATTTACTTAACTATTCATTCTTATACATAAATAAAAAAAATATGAATATATAAAAAAATAATGCCAACCTTGCCACTCAAATCATGATTAACCAATTAAATAAATGGTTATGCATGCCTTTTTATCCTTGTTAAAAAAATTTGGAATTTCAATAAAAATAAAATTTAAAGTTTAATAATAAAGTACAGACTGGTTTTTTTTTAAGCAAACTTTCAAATATTTAAATTGCATTAATTCATATCATAATAACACATGCTTTTGGCTAATCCAAAACATTTTAAACTCCTAAATTTTAAACTTCTAAATTTAAAGGTAGCACACAACACCTTTTCTATACTTTCAATCACAACATTTCCAAAAATATCAGGTACAGTCAGAATATTTGACACTATTTCGCTGTAGTCCTAAATGAGTATCAGCTAGCTGTATTTTAATGTTCAAAAAAGTAACGAACACTAGCTCCAAATTTCAGCAATCTTATTGATCAAAAAATCTAATAATAGTTATGACTGTGGAGAACCAATATGCCAGAACCCACTGTAAACTATATATTTTTAAAAGATACTATATATTTTAAAAGATAAACAAAAAAATAATACTTTTTTTAAATCGAAACAAGACAGCCTATAAAAATCACAAAAATTTTGTTTAAATTGTCTGTAAATGTGTACAAATATGATTCACTTGTTTCAACTTTACTTGTTTCATTAACACACCACTTCTCTTATTAGCCACAATATTATATATTTAACATAATGAGTGTCACACTTGTCATAACATCTTGTAAAACTTATTGATTATGCCATTTGACATACTAATAAAAGTCGTAAACATGTCAAAACAAAAACAAATTGTAAACGAAGAAACACAATGTGTTGACAGCTAGTTTATGGGCAGCCAGTAGTCTAAAACAAATAACTTATTCGTTTTACTTGTGTTAAAACATTATTATTCATGTACATTCACAAAATATATATTACAAAACATATCATATTTTGGAATATTTTAGAGCACACTGTAAGGCTAAACGAGAATTTAATAGTCAGCTGGATTGTTATAACGTACCTGAAAGTTGTTTTACAACCTCGACTATGATGATTAACAAAAATACACCACAAAAACTTATTATTCGAACTTATTATTCGGTCAAACTCGTTAAAAATATATTATTTGTTCAGAGAATAGTGGTAAACATAACATACACTAACATAATTCAATTATTACATACCAATTAACAATTAGACAACGAGGCGGAGTTGTCTATGAGCGAATAGTCAACGAGGCGAAGCCGAGTTGACTATTTGCTCATAGACAACGAGGCCGAGTTGTCTAATTGTTTTAGTATAAACTATAACATTAATTTACAACTAGGAAACACAATACAAAAATATTGAAACTGAAATTTATTTCGTACATTAAAGGGAAGAAAATATTTTAATTGTTGTTCGCGTAAAATGTTTTAAAATTCAGTTTAAATATAAAAATTCAATTGAGTATACGTTATTTTTATGTATTTTCTTACCCTTAAAAATTGCAATTCCGTATTTTGTTGCTTTTTTTGTTTTTTCTGGTACGGAATTGTCCAACAAGTCGTCCAAAAAATCTTCAGATACTTCGGCGAAACGCGAATTTTCCGCCATTGTTTTGAATTTTGCTACTAGTAGGCTATCACTAATAGCCTACTAGTAGCGTAGCCAATAAGAACGCAGGAAAAGTGATAGCCTATTAGTAAGTTTATACTAATAAGCGATAATCGTCATAATCTGACAAAGAATTAAGACCAGCGAGAATTTGGCTTTTCTTCGCGATTTTTCTTTTTTAATAAAAAAAAATTCCTTCGTAGTTACTTGATTGTTCTTTTACACTCTTTCGAAAAACAAAATACCGTAATATGATGAAGGATTCATATGGATTACACTGCATCTCCGAATATCGACTTTTAGTTTTAAATCAATCAGACAATCACGGTCCACGGACATCCCTAGCCCCAGGGCACCGACGCCGCCAAGAGTCCAGACTCCCACACTACAGACTCCCATGTAGAAGACAACAGTCCAGAATGTATATCTCTCTCCGCCACAATATCTCGCCCCATTGAATAAAATTCGTCATTACAACGAAAACCTATATGGCTTCTGGAGCCAGTTCTTAGAAAGATGGATAAAGATGATAAACTTATCCACTGGATAGTGACTTTTTCAACCGTCGTAAAAAAGCTTTGAGAAACGATAAAGCTACTTATATTAATTCATAATTGTTTAAAAAAGTAACTTGAAAAATGTGAAGTTTATTCTTGTCATTAATGCCAAGTGGTGAGGATTATTTTAAGGTGGTACACCACAAAAAGGTCCTTTGCGTATTTATAATATCAGAAATATTGAAATATGTTGAAGTAGAAATGATTGTTCTGATTCTAGGGCACAGCACAGACGTTCACGTAATAAGTTCGCTTTAGCAGTTGTTACGGAGTTTAGATACACGTCCGAAAAGAATTCATTTCTTGCGCAATGCATTTTGGCACCAAAGTTAATTTAAAGTATATTGCGCTAAAAACTCTCCCTTCTTCTACCATAAAATAAATCTCAAAGCTCTCAAACGAATAAAATATAATTAGCACACTGATGTCTGTGCTGTGAACTAGACTTAAAAAATAGATATTAACTATGTTAAGATAAATTGATATTTTCAATTTCATAAACATGCAAATTACCTTTTTGTGGTGTACAACCTTAGCGTTCGAAATAACAGTCTATTTCCGCTGGATAACTTTATCCAACTTTTAATTAAACAACCGGGCGCCAGGTCGGCTATTTTTTAACCAGAATGGGAAAATTAAGGAAATGCGCAACGCTAAACGACAGCCTTTTTTAATAACTAGAAATACATGCATACATGCACCAACCCCTCACCATTTCAATTAACGAAGCAAAATATTTCCTGATCTAGTCAGACCTATATAACCTTCTAACTAAGTATATATTCTGAAAAGACTTAAGTGTAAAGCTTAAACACAGTGGTAAAGGTGAAGTGGAACCACACTTTGCATGCTGGGGAGTCTCGTACGCAGGCGCTTCATTGGAAAACATAAAGGCTGTATTCAGCGTAATATAGATACCTTCAAAACATCAAAGCAGCACAAATGATTTAAATAACGAAGTACTAAACGAATAAATGACTAATATTGTTTTTGCTTTATTGAATTAATACAGTGATTGCAGTCGACTCTATAAAAGCTTTAAAGTGATATTTGTTTTATCAAAACTCCGAACTTACACTTTCAAGAACTCTTTTTAAAGTAAAAACGATTCTATTTGTTTCCACATTTCATATTGTGTTTGCCAAAAATTTTAAAAACATTAAAAAAAATAGTTTCCAAAATGAAAGTTAAATTCATGTTTTAATTGAAATACATAAATTTTATTCGCCAATCAAGCCAATTTTGAAATAAATAAAAAAAATTTAAAGTTTTGACCAATATACATGTGGAAGTAACACCCGAGCGCCTTGTCCTCGCGACTATGCCCTATTTCCAAATAAAAATTAGTTATAGCTTTTTTATGCCCATGTTGAAGAAGGAAGATTTACATCTTGCACATAGCTTGTGATAATAAAACCTTGAATCTTTCCGTTTTACTGAGGTGGTTCTATATTTTACACGATAATATTGTGACGTAATCATCGATTGTATTCCATCAAAAATCCGGAAAATGTACCATGTGTAGCATGCCTTCTAAAATTAGTAAAAGTTAGAAGTACTTGCCAATGGGTCTACTCAATAATTTTTTCGTTGTTCATGATTTAAAAACATTCTATTTTCTTGCACAACAATTTTTTTGCGGCGAATTCATTAGGATTCATTAAGGTTCAATAAGTTTTAATGATGCTTTATCCACACTGCATTTGGCCTACCAAGGGGATTTATCGTTTTATTCAACAAGCAAACTAAATGTTTTCAACCTTAATACAAAGATACTGTTTACAACTACATATTCAGTTAATAATATTCAAGTTGACTCATTCAAGAGAGATGTAAAAGTGTTATTTAATTTTGACTTATCCACCGTTTAAGCTAAACAGGCTTGATAGAACCGGCCCCAGGTCTATAGCTAACATGCATTATATCAAATTACGTCTAAATTGGTATTATCAAAATTGGTATTAGGAACTTGGCTTTTTATGCGGGACTAAAAATTTACATTGCGTTTATTTATTCTATGCAAAACATATATGTTTATATAGAAAAAGGATATCGGGGCAATACGTTGTTGAACAACCAAAATATGCCTTAAAGAGCAGAGAATAATTATACTTTTGTCTATATAGATTGTAGACTGTTTTTTAGTATAAGCATGCGAATGTATTAATTTTTCGATTGTGATTTTAACCAATGTTCGCGTACAATCTGTCTTGCGATTTTCCCTATAGTCCATCCTCAAAATTCTGATGTTGTTCTCCGTTTATCTTTCTCGTTGGTTAAATCTGTAAAACTCCTCTAACGTTTCACATGACTTTTACAATTACAAACTATTATACTACAATTAGATTCTGCATATAAGCATTATATTTCACGTAGATTTAGCAAATTCTCATCTTTTATCCCGAATATATGAAATATAACCATATTATAAATATGCATGCATGTGTTCAAGTGTTCAATTACACGTATACGAATATATAAATTACTTTTCTACATCAAATTTCGTTCGCAATATTATGTTATCATAGTCAAAGTTATCATCCATTGAGAAAGGAACAACCTCACAACGTCCCTGATAAAAGAAAATTGAACAATAATAAAACATTGTCTTTGCCATTTTTGTGAAATGCTTGGATAATCTGATATAAAGTGTTTTCGCCAATTTCGGTTTTTACATCTAAGCATTATCATTTTTCTTACATTTGACATAACTTGTCCATCTTTGGGATATTCTTGTAACACATCTTTACTTAAATTCTCATTTTTTATATCACGCTTAGTAGAAATATCCAGATATCGTAATTTTGTCTCAGCATTTTTTGAGTCTATATACAACGATTAGATGTTAAGATAACCCCCCTACCCTGCACTTCACTCGATGAACGTAAATTCTAGAGGTTCAAAGGGTTAATTTCGAGTGGAATTATACTGATTTATATACACACTGCTACTGCCGCTGGCAATTAGTCATTTTCCAATCGAGCAGGATACTGGGTCTATTCGCGAACCGCAAAGCATTTATGTACTGTTTGGAGGGACAGGAAATATAAGTTTGAAATAATTTGTCCCTCCAAACAGTCCATAGATGCTTTGCGGTTCGCGACTAGACCCTGAATCCGGTTGAATTTAAAGTGTGTATTATATAATTCCATTCGAAATTAAGATACATGTATACGGTGTTTATATTATAACTTTAAATAAATGTTAAAAAATGTTTAAGGCTTTTTTGCGCGTAAAACGTCACTTTTTAGATCATTTTTCAAATTTACTTTAAACCTTGGCCATATGATATGATATGGGGAATGAGTTACTGGATACGTTCTTTTTTGCGTAAATTCCAAAAATTCATAAACACAAAATAACTTTCATTAATGAAACTTACTCCTGATTGCGTGTTTTTCCATAAATACCGTGTTGCATCTACTCTATGTTACTACTGTATTTTTGATGACAACAACTATATGTGTTCGTATATTATCAAAACATAAGACTTTTATTTTCTCTATAATGAGGGAGAAGTCCCTTATGTTGAAATGAAATCTGTTCAAATGTAATCTGTATAAATGCATATAATTATACAGAGCATTGAAGATTATTGGCATATATGCTATTATGCCAAAAATATTCTTAGGCTGTTTTTCACCTATTTTATTGCCTTGAACCTGCAATTTTATAGTCTTTATATGACAATTACACATTCAACATATAAAACCAGCTGATTCAAGAAAGAAATTGACAAAATCATCAAAAGCAATAATTGCATTTACCATATATTTCAGTTTCTCCAGGAAGAGTAATTCTTTCTTTCAAACTTACATCTATTTCATCTAATATACAAGAAAGTGAAAAAAGGATATTGTCAACAATGCTGCTAACAGCACATTGCCATATCAGAACAATTCAAATGCAAAAATCAAGTAATTAATTTAAATATTCTCTCAAATAAAACATCATATGCAGACTAAAAGTTTATATGCAACTTGTTGGAAAAAAATTACAGATGATAATTAAATTTTAGGGTTAAAACTGTAAAGTATATATACCGGGTCGCGCAAAAAAAGATTAACCTGTTTGATTGAGTATAACTTCAAAACTAAAACGTCTGTTAAACTGAAATAACTTTCTTTAGATTCGTGAATGTCTAACTTAAAATTTGGTATATACCATGCGTATTTTGATACAATATTCCCCGAGATATCAGCGTTTTACTTTTAATACCTATTTTTGAAAAGTATACAAAAATTAGTCAAAAATGGCATATAAATAAGAAAAGATAATGTTCGTTTTAAACTTTTTTCCTGATATGACTTCTTGAGCATTGTTAACCCTGGCATATTCTGTGAAAACTCAAACACGCTGTTGTAGCTATCGTTAAACGAGGCATATTAAGAAAAGAACAAGCAGAATTCATGCGAGATTGTTTGTTATATTAGCGAGCTATCGAACGAATTTTATCCCCCATGCGACATGAAACATTTGGAACAAAGTCCAAACCAAAATCAAGTGCTTCTAGTTAAACTTCATTGAAACAGACAGAATACGTGCCATAAAATACTAGGACTTGTTAACTTACTTTAATATGCCATTTTTAGCCGCTAATTTTTACACTTTTGGAAAATGCATACTTAAATTGAAACTGCGATATCTCAGTCAAAATTGCATGAAAAACCTCATGCTATATATCAAAATTTAAGTTAGACATTACGTAGAGAATATAAAAATCATAATTTTAGTGCAATAGTTCCTTTAATCTTGAAATTATACTCAATCAAACAGGGTTACCTTTTTTTTGCGCCAACCGGTATTTCCTGGGTGAAAACTATAAACTATACAGTATTAACTAGTTTTTATTATAAAACAAGAAAAATCACCTATGACATTCATATTTGTAACCATTTCACATGTAGATGATTGAGACTTTTCATACTCTATTTGCTGAAATGATTGCTCGAGAATTGAAGGTTTGTAAACAGTGTCATCACCAAATCCTAGCAAAAACTGTTCATCTTCAACAAAATTATCCATCTGTTGGGAGTTTAGGAAAAATATATTGAATAGAAAAAAAGATAAATTGAATTTCTTACAAAAATTAAATGTAAATTAATACTGTTATATTGCCATACCGTACCATTAAATTTGACCGATAAGGTCTTTGAATATTGGATTCCATATAATCACTAGCATCTAACAACTGAAAAAAAATTATATGTTTATTATTCCAACCTTTGTCTTCTCATTTATACCAATTACAAAGTACAATATTACATAACATTTCGATTGATGCTTATATAATATATATGAACAGTTATGAAACTCAGGTCCTCTTGCAATCAGTTAATAACCCATACTTATATAATCTAAAGCAGCCCTGCATAAGCCATTTTACCCTATTAATTTTAAATAAGTTTATTTTTCAACAACTTGCATATACCATAATTGTATTTATGGCATGTATATTGCAGCATTATAGAAATTTTAATACTAAATGTAATCCTAACCAACTAAAACTAACTACAAATAATTCACATAAAATATTTATGACTCATCTTGTCAGCTTATTTCAACAACAATTTTATCATAACATTACATCTCTTCATAGAAACCTATTCCACCTTTCAGATTAACTGTAGCTACATATAATTATTAACTGTCTTATAGCCAACTGGTACATATACAAATACAGGCTGCATATATTTACCTCATGTGGTAAATCAACATCATATTCTGTCACATCACTGCTGTCACTATTAACTGCATCATTTGCATGTCCATTAATTAGATGCTGGATAGATGAAGAAATTGGCTCTAAATGTGAATTAATTTTTTGTTTGATTGTCAGAAAATGTATCTGCATGTAGATTTACCCTGGTAGCACATAAAGACTACATCATACAGGGCCGACACATCACAATAATATAAATAATGAAATTAAACGTTTGAAACACAATTAACCAACTCTTTATATGTACTTATGGCAGCAGTTCACGTATCTTTTCACTTCTTATAATTTTATATTAATTTATAGCACACCTCTATTTAAATGCGAAAATCCAGCAAGAAATTCATCGTATGTTTCTTGTTCTTTTACGAAAAGCAGTTCCAAGGCTTCTTTTGTATGTGTATCTAGTGTTTCTACGTTTGTTGTAGAGTTACTCGACATCTCATTTTTATCTTTCGCCATATTGTGACAAACTGAGAATAACAACACGAGATTGATACCCGGAGATAATTACCAAGCGCCCTGATAATGACCGACCGGACATTAAATATAACCGTGATCGTAAACCATGGCTTCACTTCAGTGTAGAGTAACTCATTTATAGTATGTACCGAAGCCACAAACTCTTTTTTTTCAAAACATTCATTATTGTAATTCTTTATATTTTTCAATTATAGATATTCCACAAGACGTACGTGCTTGAAATTTCCAAATTTATGGAGACGCGCGTGAATAAGCGTGTTGTTATCACTACAATCGTTGGTTTGGCTTTTGTGTAAGTCTTTGGTCTCATTTATAATATCAATGTTCATATGTACCAGCTATATATTCACCTTAATTTTGTATTACCCATAACATAATACACATAAATTTTGTCAAGTCTAAACCTTAGCGGTCCTACTAAACACTCGAACCTTAGATGCAAGTCTATATTATCCTTAGATGCATGTTAGGTAGTGATTTCTTTCAAAGTTAAATTTTCGTTCAAAGATTACATTTAGGGTTTGCGATATACTCCAAAATTTAAAGACTGCGGTCATCTAGTATTTCATAAACATTCACCCGCTGCTGGTCATGTCAAAGGGATCATGTTATTGCAAACTGAAAAGTAGGAGCTAATGAAACAGCTACATGATTGTATAATTTGTCTGTTAAGTTCAATATACATTTGTGCTAAACATATAAAACTCATTCATATTCAGGTTTCTCTTATTATCGACACGGCGATCAAAGAATAGTCAATCTGATAGTTCATCTTTAATTGCAGAACTGAAAGGTTAGAAATTTCAGCTTGTGTATGTTGATTATATAATTAATAATTGATCATTAATCATTGATAAATGATGATTAAACCTGCAAGAGCCATGCCTAGTTATATAATGCCTTGATAATATAATTATACATGTCTGTTATAGTAATTACAATAACTTACAATGTTTAAAACATGTAAAGTATGTATCTGTTTAGTTAAGCCCTGTATGATTTGAAGTAACCTGCAGTGACTTGCAAATTGTGCTAGGGAAGCCATCAAATTATTTTAGTAGTCATGTTTAATGTTTAGTCTAAGGCCTGGTCAGTTTCATATATATGTTGCAACTATTTTTTGGAAAGCAAACATTTTTCCTTTCTTCATTGTACATACACACTATCACTTTTTCTCCATGTAATTGTTTGCTGTTACCTTATAAAGGGAAATATATATATATATATATATATATATAATATTATTATATAATATATATATATATAATATTGACTATATGTATTTTAAAATACAATGTGCTGTCTGAATATCTAACACATTTAGGTTCGCTACAGCTCTACATTAATATGAACTGTAGTTTAAGTTAAAAAAAAATAAGAAAGATGCAAAATTTAGGCTATTTTTGCATCAGCAGGCCCTCACTTGTTATGAGCAGAACTTGTGTGCAAAACAGACTTGAGTTCCGCTCTAAGATTATTAAAACTGATATTGATTTAATTCTTTTAGAAAAGTTGTGGAAAAAAGAAAATGAGATAGATGAACTTCAAGTGAAACATCAAGTAGAAATAAAAGAATTAAGAAAATCTTTTATTGCCAACAGTCATAGGTACCATTGCCATGTTCATAGCTCAATCATGATTTTTAGTAATTGATTTGAGGTTGGGCATAGATACATATACTGGTAAATTACTCCTTTGTTTTATTTTTCTTTAATTCTTTTTTTGACTTAGACTGCTGTTAAGAATTGTAGATGAACCCTCTGAGGATAATTTTCTCCTCTTCATCATCTAAATCTTTGTTTTTTAATGTTATTGGTAGACCCAAGCTTCCATCTCAGCAATCAAGAAATAGTCAGGATTATGAATCAAGTGTCATTAAAGAACTTAGAGGTTTACTTTGTGTAATTAAAATAACACAATGACCTTATGACATTTAATATTATATATTTAGTTAAAGTAGGTCCTAACATATTCTCATCCCTCTAACAATTATTAGAGAAACATATCATCAATATCATAATCATATGAGTTTTGAAAAATACATTCTCACATAATTATTTTTTTAACCCTTAGAAAAATTGAGGAAAAAAGAAAATATAATCATGAACCTTCAGACACAGCAGGATATTAAAATATCAAATGTTAGGCCAAATCTGCACATTAAGTCAAGGTATTTTTTCATAATTCTTTTCATTTTTTCATAATTCTTTTAATTTAATTTACTATTGACTAAGATAACAGTACTTATCATTAATTACCCAACTTTGATGCAATACTGGATGATAAATATCTACCTTTTCCACAAGATACATTCAGTGTGACTTTTAGAATATATTAACCTCTCTTTAAACTTGATGCTATATTTACTGCAGAGTTACTTTATTTTCCAACCACATAGAATTGTATTTGTTACATGGTTTTAAATGTTGACATTGCATGGTCCCTTTTTATAGGTCTTTTAACAAGCTGGTTCATTTAGATTTGAAAGGTTCAGCTCCAAAGATGGATTATATTTTGAAGGTAATTTCTGCAATCTTCCTTCGAAGTACAGTAAACATCGTTATTTAACATAACGTATGCTGGACACTCTTTGTTATAGCTGCTTTCGTTTTTCAAGTCGTGGGGAGCAACAGGATTGTTAGTTGAATATGAGGATATGTTTCCATACGATGGAGAACTCTCTGTGTTAAAATCTCACTATGCCTACAGGTTAGAGATTTTAAACGTGTACATATGATTTAGAGAAAGGTTAGTTACTAAAATGCTCTGGTTTTTACAAGCCGAGTTTATCCCAAGGATTTCGCTTTATCCAACAGACTACATTTCGACGTAAGGGTCTTCTCCCTCATTATAGTGGACTATATTTGGGAAAATAAATAAACATAATAAGGTCTTATATTTTGATAATATACGAACACATGCAGATATTGTTATCAAAAAGATAAACCTTATTGTTTATTCACTTTTCTTTTGAAATGGCAATGGTATATTTCTCATATAATTTGTTCTCTAAGGTCAATATTGTTCATGCAGACATAGAAACAAGACCTTGAATGAAAGTTATGCAATCGGTAAAAATTATTTATCGATATTCTTCTCTATTTAGTTTAAACGAAATTACGATGTTTCTAAAAGAGGTTCAGGCCCAACAACTGCTATTGGTACCTTTAGTTCAGACGTTTGGACACATGGAGGTAATGCATATATATATAATGCTGTTTTAAAAGTCCTTATTAAACACAGTAGACCCTCGCTAACTCGGACTCTCAAGGGGAAAGAAAAATTGTTCCAGTTAGCTAGGGTTCGAGTTAGCCGGAGTTGGTGTCAGATCGCGTTTATTATAAGTTATTAAATACAGTAAGGTATAAAATTCAATCGAATCATCAAGGAATATCATGCGTATACCAATATGAATTGTAACCGAGAGTGGACGACGTTTTAAAATTAAAAAAAGGCTAGATTAATAACGACCGTGGCACTACACAAAATCTGTGAAAATTCATAAGCATCTATATACAATTATACACTGATTAAGTTGTTGTTGTTTCAATAGAAATGCAAGTTTGTTGTTGTTTCGATAGAAATGCTATCTTCTCACATTTTAAGGTTTGACTATCTGCGAAACTAAAACAAAGTTCGAGTTAAACGGATATATTTGACCAAGGGAAAACAAAATTTGTTCGAATTAGCGAGGAGTTAAGCGGAGTAAATTACTATGAAGAACATTACCAAATCCAAGGGGAATTGGATTTAGTTCGAGTTAGTGAGGGACTACTGCACTTGAATATCCTGGGCCGGTTGTTCGAAGGGCGTTTAGCTTAAACGGTGGATAAGCCAAATATCTTGTACTTCTTGTGAATAACTGAACCTGCGTCTTATGTATTAAATATGTACTTCCATTAAAAATTGGGCTATTTACATCGAAATATTTCTGCTAATTTGATTTTTTTTCCAATTGTACACGCCGTTTAAGCTAAACGCTTTTAGTACAACCGGCCTCTGCAACTGATGTGGTCTGCTTTATATAATAATCACCCTGCCTCTGGTAACAACACTCTCTAGGCGCAAACAACGAGAGATTCTGTGATCATCCTGATCCATGGTCTTTGAACATGTCGTAAACCACGTGGCTGTCGTAAACCGGCTGTAACATGTCAACTTCACTTTAGATATTTAAATCCTAGTTGACCCCGAAAGTAAAGATACCCATTCGCCATGCAATTAGAACTATCATAAAATCCCGGCCTTTGTCCTTTTAGCCTAAACACTAATAAAACTGAGCACTGGTACCAATTTGCCGTGTCGTGCTAATAAATTGGGTGTTGTAGCTATAAACGGGCTTACTGGATATTTTAACTCAACTAACCCCTTCAAGCTTTAACTAAGGACCTTCTCATGCATGCAACTTTGTCCATAATTTATCCTCACGACATGTATGCATCTTTTAACTCACTAAAAAATTTTGGTTTCAGTTTGTTCTTAAACACCCGAAGTTTGCCCACCTAAGACATGTTGCAAACATGACTACCGCTATAGATCCAAACAATAGAGGTTAGTAACTTTATCGCTTTTAGGTAGAAATTGAAGGGTGCCGGAGCATATTAAGATATGCAAGATAAAATGTTGCAACATTGCCATTGGTTTAGCTACAAGTTAAAACAAAAAAAACTCCTTCCCCGCAGTAAAAATACAAAACAGAAATGTTTGAAGTTAATCAATAAAAAGCTATTTTATTGACATATTTCGTGAGGGCAAATGTTAACGAATACGATATATTCAACGATCTTTCTTTAAACCAAGGCAATGTTGAAAAAGGAAGCTGTAGAAATAATGAGGTCCATTTGCCCCCCCCCCCCCAAAAGACAGCTTGTATTTCATTTATTGGTTACGTTGCATTGTATTTTGAATTTTCACAGATATACGCATGAAATTAACAGAATTTAGAATTAGTAGCTGAGACGAACTTGGTGTTAAGTTCATCCAGACGGATAATTCGTCTTCAAA